ACCCTACAACATCCAGAGCCTTAAGGAACTCCGGGCGGATCTCATCCACCCCCAGGGACTGCTCCCCCCTCCTGAGATGCCTGATGGTGGACCAGAATCGCCTCGAAGCCATGCGGAAGTCTTTCTCCATGGCCTCTCCAAACTCCTCCCACGCCCGGGTTTTTGCCTCAGCGACCACCCGAGCCACATGCCGCTTCGCCCGCCAGTACCCATCAGCTGCTTCTGGAGTCCCACAGGCCAAAAAGGCCCAAGAGGACTCCTTCTTCAGCTTGACAGCATCCCTCACTGAAGGTGTCCACCAACGGGTTCGAGGGTTGCCACCACGACAGGCACCAGCAACCTTGCGGCCGCAGCTCCGATAAGCTGCCTCGGCAATGGAGGTATGAAATATGGTCCGTTCAGACTCAATGTCCCACACCTCCCTCAGAAAGTGTTTGAAGTTCTGCCGGAGACGGGAGTTGAAGCTCCGTCTCACAGGGGACTCTGCCAGACGTTCCCAGAAGACCCTCACTACACGTTTGGGCCTGCCAGGTCTGACCAGCTTCCTCCTCCACCACCGGAGCCAACTCACCACCAGGTAGTGGTCAGTTGACAGTTCCGCCCCTCTCTTCACCCGGGTGTCCAAGACATACGGCCGCAGATCCGATGAAACGACGACAAAATCGATCATAGATCCGTGGCCTAGGGTGTCCTGGTGCCATGTGCACATATGGACACCCTTATGCCTGAACATGGTGTTCGTGATGGGCAATCCGAATTACCACATTGTCATTGAAGGGTTAGAGTGTCCCACTGACACATATATATAATGGCGGTTGCCTTTATTACCCCTTTTTGGCGCGGCTGTGGTAGAGTGGTTAGGGGAGCCATCCTGGAACCGGAAGGTTGCCGGTTCGATCCCCGTCCAATCGACTCAGTTGTTGTGTCCTTGGGCAAGACCCTTACCCACCTTGCCTACTGATGGTGGTCACAGGGTCCGGTGGCGCCTGTGTATGGCAGCCTCGCCTCTCAGTGTGCCCCAGGGAAGCTGTGGCTAAAATTGTAGTTTGCCATCATCAGTGTGTGAATGTGTGTGTGCATGCATGGGTGAATGTCTGCAGTGTAAAGCGCTTTGAGTGTCCTGGATGGATAGAAAGGTGCTATATAAGTACAGTCCATTTACCTTTTTACCATTTACCATTGTTATGTTTTGGTGTAATTTTAGAAGTTTTAACTCTGAAAAAGTTATTTCTGTTGAGCTGCTTTGCATGAAATTTTTTGTGCACACAAGTCAGTTGAACAGACAATCAACTGTGATAATTTTTCTTTCAGGTTTGTGTGTTTTATTGAACTTTTTCAGACCCTTGGTGTTCCCAGTCAAAAATGTCTCATCATTAGAACTTGCTGTGTGGGACACTCAAGTGTTTAAAATGATGTTTAGTCCCTCAACCATATCTCAAACTGTGACATTGATGACAGAAAACAAGGCCAACAACCAGACATGATGGATACTGTAGAGAAGAATATGTCAGAAGTTGAAGACGACACAAACTCTAGACCAAGAGATGGAACAATCCAGTGATGAGGAAGAGTATACTGCTGAAGACGCTGTTACAACTATTTCAATGAAGTTGGGACGTTGTGTAAAGCAGAAATAAAAACAGCAAACTGTTGTAAATCCTTTTCAAACTAAATTCAATTTAATACATACAAAGCCAAGGAATTTGCTGTTCAGACTGATGGATTTTTTTTTCAAAATTCATATAAAATTTAAAGCCTTCAACATGTTCTAAAAAAAGTTGGAACAGGGGCATGTTTACCACTGTCTAATGTCTGGCTGAACCAAGCAGGGATGTCCCTGAAATAGATGTGGCTTGGAGGGCAGCATACAGTATGTTGCTCCAACCCATGGATGTACCTGTCAGTATTAATGGTGCCTTCACAGATGTGCAAGTTACCCCTGCCATGGGCCCTAACACTCCCAATCCCATCAGAGATGTTGGCTTTTGAACTTTGCACTGATCAACCCAGACTGTCTTTTTCTTATTTGGCTCAGAGGACACAGTGTCCATGATTTCCAAAAACAATCTAAAATGTAGACTCATCAGAACACAGAACACCTTTCTACTTTGTGTCATCTCAGATAAGCTCAGTCCCAGAGAGGCTGACTGCATTTCTGGGTGTTGTTTATGGCTTTGGTTTTGCATGGTAAAAGTTTTGACTTGCACTTGAAGCTGGACTGTGTTCACTGACAATGGTTTTTTGAAGTGTTCCTGAGCCCATGTGGGTTACAGAATAATGTTGGTTTTATTGCAGTGCCACCTGAGGGATCGGAGGTTACGGGCATTTGATGTTGGTTTTCATCCTTGCCGCTAACTTGCAGAGATTTGTCCAGATTTTATGAATCTTTTGACATGACACAATTATGGACTGTAGATGATGAAATCCCTAAATTCCTTGTGATTTTATGTTGAGAAACATTCTTTTGGATTATGTGCTAATGTAGTTTTTCACAAAGTCATGAAGCAAGTGGTCCTTGCTTGTGAATGACTGAGCCTTTCGAGGATGCTCACTTTATACCCAATCTTGACACTCACCTGTTTCCAATTAACCTGTTCACCTGTGGAATGTTAGCATTCCTCAACCTTCCCAGTCTTTTGTTTCCCCTGTCCCAGCTCTTTTGGAACGTTGGAGGCATCAAATTCAAAATGAGTAAATATTTGGGGAAAAAAACTACTTTTATCAGTTTGAACATTAAATATCTTGTCTTTATAGTGTATTCAATTAAATTTAGATTGAAAAGTTTTGCAAATCACCGTATTCTATTTTTATGTTTTACACAATGTTTTAACTTCATTGGAATTGAAGTTGTACCAACTTCTAAAGCTCTGACAGCTTCCACTCTTTTGAAGTATTTCACAAGAGTTTGTAGGGTTTTTGTGACAATAAGTGCCCATTCATTCTGTAGAGCATTTATGAGGCCAGACACTGCTTTTAGACATGGAGGTATTTGTTTCAATTCATCCCCAAAATGTTCTGTTGGGTTGAGGTCATAACTCTGTGCAGGCCACTCAAGTTCTCCAAAACAAAATTTTTCAAACCGTGTAGTCATTGCCTTGTACAATACACTAAGGCAAGGTCATGTTGGGGTAGAAAATGGTTTTCCTCAAAGTGTTGGAGGTGCACAGTTGGAAGCATAGCATTGTTCAATGTGTCTTTGTATCCTGAAGCATTCAGGTTACCCTTCACCAGAGAACAGAGTTCTAACCTGTACCCTGTCTGAAACGCAAGATTTTAGCAAATAACAGGTGTGGCCAAACACTTTTAACCTATATGGTTTTGTCTATCATATGTTGAGTAACTCCTGCCACTGGTCCATTTTTATAAGTTGTGCTGGTTTAGATGCTCAGTCATTTAAGATGTAGTTAATCAAAAGTGTAAAAAATAAAATACAGATCCATGGACTTCTCTTCTGCAGTTGAAAAGCTGCATGGATGTGAGGTGAAATGTTTTCAACAACAGAATTGGAGTGGTTGTTATAATATTGTAAAACTTTTTTTGGACTAAGTTATAACTTCTGCATCTTGGTGAAAATATGGGCTCAGTATCGACAAACCATTGCCTCATGTCAATGTTATCTAAAGTGCAATACAAGCAGAAACTGACCCCAACTTGTGAGTTGCAAATGAAATAGAGATACTATAGAGATCTTAGTTGATCACATTCATTATACTATAAGTAAATCACATTTATGTAGTTAGCATTGTAATCCAAGAACCCTATGCTAACATGGTCAATATTGGATCCAGACTAAGCCACAGTATTTAATTTAAAAGCGTTTAAAACGTATGTATTTTATCTGTTAGGTCACATTAGGTTTCTTTTTATACTTTAAATATTCCTACGCACTGACTGCAATTCTGCAATTACCCCCCTCCCCACTGCCTGCTACAGTTAACATCTTTAAAGCAGAATAAGATAAAACTACTCATGCTTCTACCTTCTTTTTTCCAAGCCTAATTTCATCTAGATCCCAAATTCTTGTAACCCTTTATTTTCCTCCTGTCAAACATATCTAGACAACTTGTGTTCAGTTTTTTTAATTTCAATTTCAATTTTAATTAATTAATTTATTTTTTTGCCTTTTTTTTCCTTAATAAAGTTGTGCAAATCAGTGCATATTACTTTCTGGAGGACAAGTGTGGCATAAATGGAGGTCACATGCTTGATCCCAACATCAGTCGGCATGTTAATTAACAGAAAATAGTCCCCTAATGAGAAACTGCTACCTGCTCAGTAATTACAAGTCGCTTTGCTACAAGAGTATCAGCTAAATACCTAAAATGTCTGATGTGGAATTAAACTACATTAGTTCAATAGAAAAGATTAGCCCCTTCATCATATTGTTCTCACAATGGTAACTGATTTGCCYTTTCTCTTTGGAGGGAAGGCCAAAATGTTTTCCTTCAGGCTCCACATATTGGCCGTGGCATCCATTGATTGGCTAATCTCTCGATTACATTGTCACGTCACAGTGAGGGGGTTAATGAGGGATAGCCCAAGGAACTGTGGGAAATGATAACAAATTAACATTTCAGATATGGAATTGGCTGATATAAATCACTATCAAATACTGGTTATACCACTTAATGCCAGCCTTATTCATCATCCCCCCTTTTGCCTGTGTCAGAAATACTCGGCTCACACTAGACTGCAAGTGTAATTAATGCAGATGTAATGAATTCATTATAGAGAGGAATTGGATGTAGATTGGCCTGTACTTTCATCAAAAGAATTCAAACGCCTGGAGAAGGGCCATGGCCTTGCCTGTGCACCAAAGGACTTTATTTTCATAAAAGAGAACAAAAAAAAACCTTGCAGTGAAAAATGGCAAATAGCAGTTACTCGACACAAGGCCTCTGCTGTACAAGGACACTTTGGACAGACATTTGTTATCAAATGTAACTGAAATAAATACAGTCTGAAATTGTGTTTTGTTTTTGTTTTTGTTTTTCAGTGTGCGATGGCATTGGGACGGGCAGCCTGCAAACGGCTCAAACAGTGGACGCCAGCAACATCGATAAATTCATAAACTGCACAAAAATCAATGGCAACCTCATATTTCTCATAACAGGAATTAAAGGGTAAGGAGTCAAATAAAGGGTTTCCTTTCTCATTTTGGATTTTGGATTTGCATTCAGATTTTGTTAAAAGTTGTTTTTTCAGCTACTCCTACCTTTATTTTCAGCTGTGTATGTTTAAAAAAAGGTAAAATTATAACCCTTTATAAAATTAGCGTTAGCATTATCATTTACCTTAGTTAAAATCAGAATGTGTTTGGGATCATTCTTGGAWACACCATAACACATTTCAGCTCAGTGAGTCCTAAAATGGACAAATTATAGCCATTTAAAATTAAATGTTGTGGTCAACTTGAATTTTTGATTAGCATTTAGAATTTGGTAAAGATTGTTTGTGTCTACTACTACACTAATACCTTCTTTTTTGTCCAAAAGTAGCTTTTTGTAAATTTAGCTTTAGCAGTTAGCTGAAATTGGGACTACCAATGGGCATGTTTTTCCAAATCATTCTTAGCTATTATCACACAATTTCAGCTCAATAKTTCTTAAAACAGCTGATTTGAAATTGACTGTGATGGCCATTTTGAATTTGCAAATCAAGGATAGTGTATATGTGCCCCCCTAAAAATCACCTTGGCCACCCCTGTGCCACCCTTTACAAAATAATTTAACTCYGCCTCTGCCTCTGTGTGGAGGATGCAGATTTGGTATTCCAAGACACGKTTGCAGCTGAGTTGGTGGAGCAAATTACTCATGTCGCTCCCTGTGATGACAACTTTAACTCAGTAGAGTTTGCAGTATACCATCTTTAGATTAACATTTGAGCTTTTAAAACCTAAGTCTTTTGCCACAAYAGAAGCTTCTCCCCTTTTTGGGCATCATCTTCAACTTTTACGTCTGCCACAGCTTATTTTTCAATGCTTTCTGTGTCCATCTCTACCCCGCTCAACACCTCAAACACTGACACTGTGCTGCTCTATTTTCTACATGTGCGTTCAGCGGTGCAGCAAGGAAAAATGTCCCCAACGAATCAATTTATCTGTGGGCATGTCGTTTCGAATGTTATTCATCCTAGTTAAAACAATGTGCCGGTATACGGAAAATTCACATAACAAAAATACAAAACGGTTTTCAGTACAAACTGGTGTACTGCCCATCTTTATAACTACCTTCATTTCAAATGTCATAAACACAGACTTGGCTGCCAACGGGAGTACAAAGCTGTCTGAGGTGGCAATGATGTGGGCAGAAAATATTATGTTTGGAAACAAAATCATAATTTGGCCAGACAGCATATGGTTGTATGGCTCACTAGTTGAAAACACTCAGAATTCATTGAGACTAAAAAAAAAAAAAAAAAAAATTACCCTTATTTTCCTGCTAATTTTGGTCCTACTTTCTAACAGTCTCAACTTAGAGGACCACAAACATGTTTAGCAGCACAATTACTTTATCAGACTGTACAGCGTCTGTCTGACGCAATCGTCAATTCTGGTCATCCATCTTGACGCACTTTTCTGGGTCACGGGGGTCACTGGTGTCCATGTCCAGCACTCACTGTGTAAGAGGCAGGTACACCCCGGACAGGTGCATGACCTCGACAGGGCCACATACAGATAAATGAGACAACCATTTACAACCTCACATAGACCGAGGGACAATTTAGAGTTCCTAGTTAAACATGTATGTTTTTGGTCTTTGGGTGAAAAGTGAAACTGTAGTACTGTAGTACCCAGAAAAACCCACAGAGGTATGGGGAAAACATGAAAACTCCACACAGTAATGTCCCAGGCTAGAATGCGATCCTGTGACCTTCTTGCAGATAATTCTACCAACTACACTCCCCAATTGGCCATTATATTTATATATTTCCCATTTTGCTTCTTAACCCTAATCCACCTTTTATTACTTAATCCGAGCGCCCTAATGACAAACATTGTTCTTTCTTGGAATAACAGAGTAATAAACTTCTCTAAATGTTGGAAACATAGACCTGTTTACATATGAAGTCATTTTGTTTCTCCTCAGGGACATGTATCATGGCATTGGACCGATGGACCCTGAGCGTCTCAACGTTTTCCGCACTGTGAAGGAGATCACAGGTGAAAATTACTTACTTGTGTAAACTTGGAAACATAAACTGAAGAAAACCATGTTACTGCATGTTGTGTGTGTATGTTCTGAATTATTTAGCTCCAGAGTAGACGGCTTGTAGATGAAAGCAGGTTTTTTTTGTCTGTGAACTCTAAAAGCTGTTCAAGTGGATATGTTACTACAAGTTTGTGTATGGGCTCGGCTTATTGGTAAAACAACCTTCAGTGTTTGCAGCAGTGTGTGTATTTATTCATTAGCTGTTAGGGGCCTTAAGGGATGAACAAAAACCTTGTATACGAAACCTTTTGTCATATTAAACTGCAACTTGCAGTTGAGCCAAACGGCTAATGGAGTGAAACTGCATTTTCATAATGAAAACCCAAGCAGTAAGGAAGAGCAATGGCTATTCCATCCCAGCCATTTCCTGCTCCATCCTTTTTAATGTCATTTCCACAGCTGCTGATTTGATATAATCTGTCATTAAAAGGCAAGTGCAAGCCAGACAAATTGTGCAAATATTAGATCCATTCTTTTAATTAGTGCTTGTTGTCTTCTCCTCTCACATTTCCAAGAATGTATGGGTTCTAGCTTGAAATTCATGGAGGCGAGGAAACTTTATGACCAACAGCCGAACCCCTTTTATCTGGTTGTCAGCAACTGAATAGATTAAAGTTCTTCCTCTTTATTTGTATATCCCTTAATCAAATATCCATTTTTATGCCTAAAAATATAGGTTGTAACTTTTTATAAAGCTCTACAAACATTTATATAAGACTGGCTAACTGTGATAATTACCTTCATCTGAATCATTTTTAGGTTACCTGAACATCCAGTCTTGGCCTGAAAACATGACAGATTTGAGTGTATTTTCCAACCTGGCAACCATTGGGGGACGAACCCTTTATAGGTGAGTGATGGCACATCATCCATCCATCCATCCATCCATCCATCCATCCATCCATCCATCCATCCATCCATCCATCCATCCATCCATCCATCCATCCATCTTATTCATGGTCAGAAGGCAACAGGAGGAGATTGTTCCAGACATTCTTCTTCAAGTGATACGTCTCACTTGAAGTATCCCAAGATGTCGCAGGTCATTGAAGATTTACATCCATCTAACAAGTCCTTAGTATGCTCTGCGGTCTTCTCCCAGTGGAATGTGTCTCAAAAAACTCCTAGCGGAAGATGCCCAAGAGACATCCTAATCAGATGTCTCAACTGACTTTTTTGGTAGATGAGTGCAACAACTTTAAAATCTCCCTTCCTGGAGGATAGATTAAACTGAACTCATCTACTTTATGAAGGAAGCTAATTTGAACCGTTTGTACCCAGGATCTCATTCTCTCTGCCATGAGCTGCACCTCATGACCGTGAGTGAGGGTAAGGTGAAACTTTAGGTTCAACTCCTCCTTCAAACAGACCAGACCAATGCCTTTGGACTCTGGACTCTTAGAACTCTAGATTATGAAACATCAATCCAATTCCCTCTCCATCCTACCATCATTCGTAAACAAGACTTTTATGGAATTTTTGCATTTTAAAGGGGCGGCCCGACTAAGCCTGACCCAAACTGGATTCAAGCCCTGGTTCTGCATTTGGATTTGTCGTTATGGCCCACTTCCAGCCTGACTTCTGGAACCTAGAGATCTGGGTTTCCATTTAAGCCAGGGGTGGGCAATCATGGTCCTCGGGGGCCGCAGTCCTACATGTTTTACATTTTTCCCTGCACACCTGATTCAATAGCTGAACTACCTCTTCCAAGTTCTGCAATGTGGAGGACTGAAACTGACATAATCAGAAATAAAAGCAGAAATAGATAAATGAACCTTTAAATAAATAAATACATTTAAAA